GCCCCTCCCCTCCCCTCCCCTTTTTCTCTACCTTGTGTCGGTCTTTAGCTTTTCTTCATTTTAGTGGTGCAGCCTTGGGTTGGAAGTCAGTTAATACAACTTTCAACTTAAGATTCTCTTGGAAATTTGTTCTTGCATGATTGTTTGCCACTTTCAAAGATCAACAAGGTATTAATGGCGCTTTTTTCTTTGTCTTCTTAGGATCCGCTAGATCTTTTAGCCGATCGGGCTGCAGCATCTCCTTTGCCTGGTAGTGTGGGGCAGAACTCCTCGGCAGGTAAAATGTTTCCTTTCTTTTTTTCGTTACTCACGTAAAAGGTAAAAAGAAGATGGGCAAGGTCAGGGTCATAGGCTGCTGGCAAGGTTTCTTTTTAGGAACGGCTGCTTCCATAGGAAAAATGTCTAACACGTTAACATTGCTTGGCGCTGTCTGTATTTTTATAGCCTCTGTAGCAGGCTGTAAAATTAATCTGAACTTCGGCGCTACCTCTTTCCTCGTATTTATCCCCTCCATCTTTCCCCTTTTCCCCAGAAACGCCTGATACTCAGGCTATTCTCGCGCTGCCTCTGTATCCCGCGCGCGTAAGACAAAGGCTATTGCAGTGGCGGATTCAGGGGAGGGTCCCAGGGGGCCCGCCCCCTGTTATTTTTAGACCAAACTGAGGTCTGGATGGCCGAAAATTTTTTTTTGGAGGGTCAGGATGACTGCCCTGCCCACCCCCCACCCCCTGGATCCGCCACTGTATTGTGTCGATGGAAAGGTAAAGGAAAATTCGTTTTCAACACTGTCATTAAATACGATTACAGATGATGTGAAAACACGTCAAGAAAGCTATAGCTAAAACTCAGTTTTTAAACCTAGCGTCTTTTCTTTTTCAGGCCATGAACTTGTGCAGTATGGCATGCAGGGGTCTGGCACCAGTACTTCCCCTTCTCGGGCACAACAGAGACGAAGGGACTGGGTCCAAGGGCAGGAACAACAGCAGCGGCAACCTTCTGACTATGACGTTTCACACTTTTTTAACGGTTAATCGATCATAACTAGTTTTTAACTCGTATAGGTGAAGGATTCTAGTATTTTATAACGTTATTTTACTATTGCATTATTTTAATGGTCAGTAAACTTTGTCAGTGACAGGAATGTCCTCGCGGTTACACTTTTTTCTTGTTTCCCTGCAAAGTTCAGGACTGTTTTATTTCTTCAATGGTGCAATGTAAAGAAACAACTAAAACCGCAGAAGTGTGCTCCTCGTTAGCTTTCAGTTGGGTGACGTCACGCGTTAGGATTTCACCTTCATACGTAATACTCTATCAGGCCCACAAAGTGGACACGTGAAATGTCTGCTCATTCATGGGTAAACTGTAAATTGCTGAGCGATCATTGTTATGTAATTCATACATTGGTTGGCGCATAAAGCAGTTTTCCAGCGGTCTCAGGTCAGCAGACAGCAATACCAGAACATGACAGATGTAATCGTTTCAAAGGAAGGCTAGTGCACTAGAAGAATTGTGCGATAAATAAACGAAGAAACGGGAGTAGGTTGATCGGCCAGCTCTTCTCGACGGATAAAAACGTGTCATAGCTTTAATCAGTTAAAAGCGTGCTGCACAGTTTGCAATTGCCAGTTCCAAAAGAAAGTAATCAAACAGGAAAGAAAATAATTGCTTTTCGAAAACTGGAAAGCGGTCCATAGTTTTTCATCACTAAATTCTTTGAAGTATGTTTTTATGGTATGTAAACGAGTAGCTGTATTTCATTTCAAGAAAATCCTACACAAAGGAAACTTCGTGCGCAAGAGTTAATAAATTGTATGTATCTAGCTTATACATGTATATTGCCTGTATAAGAACAAACTATATTTGCTGCATATTCTAATTATAATTTTCTTTTATTCAGTAATAACCTAGTAATACTTTTAGTGGTTTCTGGAATTTTACTTACCACTTAGTACAATAACATGGTATGTAATTGAAGACAGTAATTAAAAACATAACAAAAGGAAACTTACGTGTTGCTTCCTGTGATTATTCCGGAATTGTTTTCTCATGGGAAGTTGTTAAAGTGAGGAACGGGGAACGAGAGAATGAAAAATTGGAACAAAACCCAACTTGAACCCTTGCCCTATCAGCAACTTCATTTTTAATTTTCTACTTTCTTCCCATTTTCCAATTCCCTGCTCCCTGCTCTTCGTTCCCAAGGGTTTTTCAACATCCCTCTCTCATGGCGAGCGATTATCTCCCTGTAGGGACCTTCAGGTCGACTGTTGGTCCTTTTGGGTTCCCCCATGAGGGCCTCAGCCGTGCATAGAGAGAGAGTACCTTTCCCACAGATGAAGAACGGGCGCAGGAGACAACAGGAAAAGTTCAAATACAGTGGACCCTTGTGTTAAACGAACGCCCTTTAGTAAGCGGACGGATTGCTTAGTTTGTTTCAAACGCTTCTTCCTATATTTTCTGTTAAACGAACCTGTATTTACACCAGTGAGGGTGTCAAGGTAGCCTGCTTAGCAAGTGTCGAAATGGGAGGAAGGGAAAAAGGGAGGGGGATTGGGGAGAGAGGGTAAGGGAAGCCGCTCCCTTCCCTTTTCCATTTCGCGCTATTCTTCCTACACCCAACCCCCCCCCCCCCCCCCCCCCCCCCCCCCCCCCCCCCCT